CATCCACTGACAACTATCATATGTTATTAAGAATTTCCTTACATGATTATCTCTGCCGTTGGTGTTGCTGAGCCGTTCAATGGCATTAGTAACGTTAGTGTCCTCAGTCTCCGCAAACCAGACTGGAGGGGAGTGTGGGTACGTCTCCTGGAAAAGACAAGTTAAATTAAATTAGTTATGTAACTAGGGGGAGGACGGAGTAGGAATCAGGGGAGGGGGTAGAAGGAGAGGAGGGGAGCAAGAAGATGGAGGGGGGCAAGAAGATGGAGTAATAGATGGAGGAGGAGGAGGAGGAGGAGGAGGAGGAGGAGGAGGAGGAGGAGGAGGAGGAGGAGGAGGAGGAGGAAGGTGGAGGAGGAGGAGGAGGAGGAGGAGGAGGAAGAGAGGAGGAAGAGGAGGAGGAGGAGGAAGAATGGGAAGGAGGAGGAGGAGGAAGAGGAGGATGAAGAATGGGGAGGAGGAGTAGTAGAGGAGGAGGAGGAGGAGGAGGAGGAGGAGGAGGAGGAGGAGGAAGAAGAGTTGGAGGAAGAGGAGGAGGAGGAGAGAAGGAGGTGAAGGTGGAAGAGGAAGAGGAGGAGGAGGAAGAGAGGAGGAGGAGAAGGTGGAAGAGGAAGAAGAGGTGGAAGAGGAGGAGGAGGAGGAGGAGGTGGAAGAGGAGGAGGAGGAGGAGAAGAGGAGGAGGAGGAGGAGAAGAGGAGGAGGAGGTAGAAGAGGAGGAGGAGGAGGTGGAAGAGGAGGAGGAGGAGGAGGTGGAAGAGGAGGAAGAGGAGGAGGAGGTGGAAGAAGAGGAGGAGGAGGAGGTGGAAGAGGAGGAGGAGGAGGAGGTGGGAGGAGGAGGAGGAGGAGGTGGAAGAGGAGGAGGAGGAGGAGGTGGAAAAGGAGGAGGAGGAGGAGGTGGAAGAGGAGGAGGAGGAGGAGTGGTGAAGAGGAGGAGGAGGAGGAGGTGGAAGAGGAGGAGGAGGAGGAGGAGGAGGAGGAGGAGGAGGAGGAGGAGGAGAGGAAGAGGAGGAGGTGGAGATGGATGATGATGAGGAGGAGGAGGAGGTGGAGATGGATGATGAGGAAGAGGGAGAGGTGGTAGAGGAGGGAGGAGGGGAGGAGGAGGAGGAGGAGGAGGAGGAGGAGGAGAAGGAAGAAGAGGAAGAAGAGAAGAGGAGGAGGAGGAGGAGGAGGAGGAGGAGGAGGAGGAGGAGGAGGAGGAGAGGAGGAGGAGGGAGGAGGAGAGCAGGAGAGAAGAGGAGGAGCAGCAGCAGAGGAGGAGCAGCAGCAGGATGAGGATGAGGAGGAGCAGCAGGATGAGGAAGAGGAGGAGCAGCAGCAGGATGCAGGATGAGGATGAGGAGGAGCAGCAGCAGGATGAGGATGAGGAGGAGCAGCAGCAGGATGAGGAAGAGGAGCAGCAGCAGAGAGGATGAGGAGGAGCAGCAGCAGGATGAGGATGAGGAGGAGCAGCAGCAGGATGAGGAAGAGGATGAGGAGGAGCTGCAGCAGGATGAGGATGAGGAGGAGCAGCAGGAGGAGGAGGAGGAGGAGGAGGAGGAGGAAGAGGAGGTTCTTAATAACAACCACTAATAATAATTATTATTCTCATCATCATAATAATAATAATAATAATGATAATAATAATAATGATCATTATGAAACTACTACTACTAATAATAATAATAATAACAATAACATTAACAATAACAATAACAATAACAATAATAATAATAATAATAATAATAAAAATAATAACAATCATTAACAACAATAATAATCACAATAATAATGATGATAAAAATAACAATGATAATAATGATAAAAATGACAATGATAATAATGATAAAAATGACAATGATAATAATGATTATGGTGATGATGACAACAACAATAATAAAAACAAAAATACTAATATTAATAACATCATTATTATTATCAATAACTAATAACAATGACAAGCAAAACAACAATAGCAATGATAATGTTAGTGATAATGACAAAGAGGACAACAACAACAATAACAATAATAATAATGATGATGATGATAATAATAATAATGATGATAAAACAATAATAATAATAACAATAATAATAACATCAACATCAACATCAACAATTAAATAAAAGGAATGGGATAATCTGACAGCAGGTAAGTCTACTGACTGACTCCTTGGCAATGTGCTTATGGGCCATCCATCTGTACACAATATTCACAAAACAAAACTTTTCATGTAACCTGGCACCAATAGGTTAAGATTGGTGATGGTTCCTCCCTAACAAAATTATTGGATGAATAATATATCTAAATAAATATTACAACTAATATTTTCAACATTTAGTCACTAAGATGAAATTGTGACCTTAATACAGAATCTGATTCTATTGAAATTGGAAAATTCAGCACTCTATATTAATGGTGGTAAAAGTGAGTCATTGAGAAATGTCACATTGGGTTTATGGTGATGTTATATTAACTATGAACTGCAAACTCGCCACCTTGTCATCCCTACCTACAAAACAGCATAATTTTTCAGGCTTAGCTTTATCAAGTTTAGATTGCAAGCATCTGGAGACCTCAATTCTATACCAGAAAATATATACTTCATGGTCATATCTCAAAAGGTATGATAATCAAATACTAGAATACAAATGAAAGTAGAAATAGATTCCCTAAGCTAAGTAACTATTACAAAAATAAGATAATCTTTAAATAAAACAATAAAATGTGTATTTAGACATTCATATAATATAGCAAGAGATAACTTTTATACATAACAGCATGGAGGTAGATTGTGAAAAGAGGAAAAAAAATGAAGTAAATATGCCATACAAAATGAGAACTACTAAATCATTCAATGACAAGGAAAAGGGAACTACAAATGTGTAACAAGCATAGAGAGAGGGCCAGGGGTCTAGATAACCAAGGATTATCACCTAATTGCATCCTCTTACTATTTGTAGAATTGCACACACACACACACACACACACACACACACACACACACACACACACACACACACACACACACACACACACACACACACACACACACACACACACACACACACACACACACACATATAGATAGATAGATAGATAGATAGATATAGATATAGATACATATATAAATATATATATATACATAAATATATATACATAAATATGTACACACATGTATACATATATATATATATAGATAAATACATAACACACATATATATATTATATATAGATATATACATTATATAACATATATACATATATAGATATATAAATATATATACAACATACATATATAATATATACATATATATATACATATATATACATATATAGATATATATACATATATAGATATATAGATATATAGATATATACATATATATAAATACACAATATATGTGTGTGTGTGTGTGTGTGTGTGTGTGTGTGTGTGTGTGTGTGTGGTATGTATATATATATATATATATATATATATATATATATATATATATATATATATATACACACACATATATATATACACATATATAGATATATGCATATACACATATAAAGATATATCCATATATATACATATACAGATATATACATATATATACATACACAGATATATACATATATATAAATATACAGACATATACATATACATATACATATACAGATATATACATATACGTATACAGATATACACATACATATACAGATATATACATATATATATACAGATATACACATAAACATATACAGATATATACATATATATACAGATATATACATATATATATATATATATATACAGATGTATACATATATATACAATATATAATATATATATACATATATATATATATGTATATATATATATTATATATATATAATATAATATATACATATACAGATATATACATATATACATACAATATACAGATATATATATACATATATATATATATATATACAGATATATACATATACATATGTTAATATATATATACACATTTATACAAATATATACACACATATAGATATAAGCATATCTATATGCATATATAGATATATGCACATCTATACACATATATATATATAAAAATATATATGATATACATATACATATACATTATATATATATATATATATATATATATATATATATATATATATATGTCTATATAAATACACATGTTCACATATATATAAATATATTCATATACATATATATACACATATGTAAACATACATATATTTATACACATATACAAACATATACATATATATATATATATATATATATATATATAATATTATATATATATATATATATAAATATATATTATATACATATATACATATCTACATTTATATATTACATATATACATATTAATACATATATCTACATATATATAGACACATACATGTATCTACATATATACATATATATTATATATATATATATATATATATATATATATTATATATATATATATACATATATATATACACACACATACATATATATATACACACATATATATACACACACACATACATTATATACACACACACATATATATATACACACACATATTATATATATATATATATATATATATATATATATATATATATATATATATATATATATATATATATATATATATATATATATATTATACACACATACAAACATAAATAATTAGATCTACATATTTCTAAATACAGATATATATATAAATACATATACATACAGATATATATACAATCATATACATACATACATGTACATACATACAAATATTTATGTATAAACATGCATATATGTGTATATACATAAATATAATATACATACTATATATGGGGATATACATATTATATGGGTATACATACATATATTGGGTATATACATGCATATATATGGTATATAATATATATGGGTATATACATACATATATATGGGTATATACATACATATATATGGCTATATACATACATATATATGGCTATATACAAACATATATGTGTATATACATACACATATGAGCATATACATACATATGTGTATATACATAAATATATATGTAAATATATATAAATATAAATATATACATATATACATAAATATTTGTGTATACAGACATATATGTGTATAAATATACCTTTACA